TGACTTTTTCAAACCTTGTCAACATATTTTATCAGATAGATAGATAGATAGAGAGAGAGAGAGATATAGAGAGAGACAGAGAGAGAGAGAGAGAGAGATTGTACTAAGAAGATTATCACCTGCTGAAAATGATAAGATAGAGGAAAATTGTTTACGATGATGATGATGAAATCATAATAATCTACTTCCATCTTTTTTTCCTAAATTATGGCTCAATATATACCAGGTTTTATATATGAACTCACGATATCTGTTAGGCAAATGTTTACCCTGACACCGTAGAATGCTGTTGTCTATGGATCCAACTACATAATGCAATAATATTAAAAAGTAATTTGGCGGAAAATATATGCCATTAGATTCGATAAATGCAAACAATGTGTTGATTCTAGAACAAGTGATTACGCTAAAATTGATACGTAAATTATTACCATTTTATTACAGATAGACATGTAACAGTTAAACTTAATTTTTAATAGGTATTACTACTAATTCTAAATATCTCTGAAAATGCAATTGATTTTAGTTTCATGCGAAACACAGGCTTAATAAAAAAATGCTCAATATTTGGTTTGCATTGGAAAAGGTTTAGATAATCTTTTACTTAAAATAATATCTTCCTCTGAGACACAATTGTTTAATAATATATACGGGATATTTGCAATCAGATATTATTAATAAGTTCAAATTTATTCTTAGTCATTAACTAGAACATTGCATCTATCAAAATAGTTGTGTGTATGTATCTAGTGTTATAAGGATGTCTTATCTTCCGAACACAGACAGCACATAATAACATAAATATCTTCTCAACTATAAACAAGATCAATCTTCACTTAGAATTATTTTTTTAAGCATTTCACCTCAAGCAAGGCGGGAAGCCACTAGGACGAAAAAGAAAATTTAGAGCAAGATCAGATAGGAGTGATAGAAGAAAGGATGGGGGTAGTGAATAGATCAAGGCAACTGGAGATGTCAATTGACATTACACTTGAATAGCTGGAGATTATAGCTCACAGGGAAACAGGAGAAGGGAAGGGAGTTCCACAGGCGAGAGATACGAGACATGAAGCTATTTGAGTAGAAGAGACGGCTACATTTAGGAGTTTTGACAGTGAAGGGGTGAGAGCGGGATGACAGCCTCGTATGGCGCTTGAACTCATGACGTCTAGGATCCAGTGAATGCAGCTCCTCGGAGCAATTTCCATGAAAGTATTTGTAGAACAGACAAAGGGAGGCGACGGCGACGGCGCGGGGCGTCTGATAAATATGACTGTAGACGAGATGCCAGAGCAGGGCCAACTACATTGCATATCCGCCTCTGGAGCCTACCAGAACCCTGAGGCAAACAGAAGGGGCACCAGACCATATATGGCAGATCATAAAGAAATACTCTACCCCAGTTAAACCTAACAAAAAAAAATAATTATCTGTTACAAAAAATTTAAAACAGCCAAACATATCGTAAAAAATAACAGCACACCTGATAAATCAAAACTACAAATAATAAACAAGTTCCTTAAGGAACTGTGTTCGTGATCAAACTCATAAATTATTACATCGATCACACTAGTACATACCTATCCAAACCTTACTTTACACCTATCCGATGACAGATCTATTAGAATCCATTTAAACACTCACACAAACCTACCAGACTCCATACAAAACATACTAGTAGAAAATACAAACCTAATAACTTTATCTACATTTAAAAAAATAAAAAAATAATGGTAGCCTTTAAAAAAAGAAAAAGCCAATACTCAATAATATTAACTACCAATATGGTCACAATGTGTTGACAGTGTTCGGAAAAAAACATCCCTATAAGTCTACATACAATAATCAATGACTAAATAAATTCTTTTTCATTAAAGTAAATCACATTTGCAAGAACAATGAAATCATATTTTACCTGACAGTGAGTATACCGAGAATTTCGTTGGAAACATCGGAATCTTAAACGGTATATTTATTTATAAACTTTAAAGCTACTATAAGCAAAAATATAAGATATTGTTATGATGTTGATTTGGGGTTAATAAAGACAAACGCCAAATAACACGTAACAATAAAAAGGGGTTTATTCGGTTGGTAAGTAGGTACAGCAATCGCCTGAGTAGTCTATAACTAGCTCAGCCAAGAACTTCTCCGAACTCTGTCTGTCTTTTGACATGCCACTATTTAACGTCTTTGTTTGTAGACAAGTTCATCTTCAAGAGGGGTGGTAGGTTTCGTACACAACAGATATAATAAATAAAAAGTAAGCTATTAGAGTAAGAAATAAAAGGTAATAATTTAATTAAATCACCTTCTATTTCTGTCAATGCTAGCTTAATAATTGATAATTGTTTCACCGTTGACGTTTCGTAAGTTACGCGTTAGTAACTATTGTTTACGCGTGAAGCATTACAGATCAGATCAGACTCGATGTTCGTTAGTAGGGTACAGTTTCTTCCAGTCGAATGCTTGTGGCATAATGCATGGAAAATAACTTTTTAGCCGGATCGTTACCCCCGAAATAAAACCATGAGACATGATTGTAGAAGTCGGCAAATTATATCATGTTGTAAACTTCTGCCATAGGCGTGCGAGGAAGAGTGAGGTTGCGAACAGCCTAACGGGCGTGTGCCTTCCTTTACGCGCCGGGGACGAACGGCACAGTCATGTACGCTGCCAGGGGCCACTGTCTTATAGAAAAACGTCATTTTCAGTCCTGTCAGATTTCGTCTAAAAAGTAAATCATCAAGTCCGTGCTACGCAGTTGACCTTTCTTTGTCATTTTCGTTTAATTTTCTTCTGAAGCCCGCTTTAATCAGCTGATAATCGTCAAAATGATCACCGTAACATCTTCCATTTGTCTCCTTAAAAAGATATCAACTGACAGCTGATATCGCTACATCAGGCTTCAGATAACCCGAAGTCAATGTAAAAATTAATATTAGGTAACAACTAGATTTCGCAAATTTATCAACTCTGTGGTGTCTTTATCAGAATAAAGTAGATTCATTAAATAGATATAGGAATATCTTTTAAATAAGCAAAGGCTATTTCTAATATCATTAGTATAGAAGAGTAAATTGGAGAAGTATTTGAACAGTTTGGAACTATACTTTTATGTTCATAGCATTTATGCTTCTATTAATATAGTTATTAGGAATCATGCTATAAATACTTAGTTATTAAGCAAATTGTAATATTATAAATGAGTGAATTTTACCTTTTGATCAGGCAATGATAAATATTTTTACACGTGCGATGTCCAATGATTAACGTATTGATGTGCAATGACTTGATAAGGAGCGAATGCGAATGTTACAGCACAAGAAAGATGTCTGTCATTGTAAATGAGTGGGCTGGCATAGTAAGTGATGTTATAAAAGCTTTTATATAGCAAATGACTAACTTTTGGTCACAAAGAAACAGACTGAAAATACAAATTTAGTAGGCTATTCCTTTCAGATTTTGGAAGGCAATTGGGCTAATGATGTATCGATTACCGAGGTCGTGGTTTAACACATGAATCAGCTGACATAAGTCGATACAATATTGACCTGAAAGCATCCGACGTCTTCCCAAAATTAAATGTTCCGCAATTGGTGAAACAATTATGTCTACCTTGAGTGTCTCCAGGGCTTTATATTGAATAAACATTACTAAAGAGAACAAAAAACACTAATATATTCACCATCATACATTAGAAATACTAATGTTGTAATTGAATCTACATAATTACAAATTTTATTTTATTCTGTAAAAGAAATATATTATAGCGTCCTCAGTGATGAAGTCATATAATGCTGAATTTAACGATCCGACAGACAATTTTCCCTATACATATATTACACATTTTGGAAAATTAAAATAAAAGTATATCTTCTCTATTGCATTTATAACACTTTTCGCCGATGTCGTAACCACGTTTTACTTGTCCGATACTCAAAGTCTTAGTTTTAACCACGGGGCTAAATCTGCGCTGGCCAATGCTGACGCTGGTCCAAGCTGTTTGTTGGTAGCTGGCCGCTTCGATCCACACAAACTCTGCCCACGCTGTGTTCATCATCTCAGAGCAGTGGAAAATCGAAGGTCGTTTTCTCGTTCAAGCCGTGACGGATGCTATATCAAGGAAAAATATATTCCTGACGAAATATCCGTGGGGTCAATCTTCAGTCGACTTATATAGGTTTCGGTACAAAATTTAACCCTTTAGTTTCACTGGGCTTTGTCTAAATTTCTGAATGGGCTGGGTCAAAGTCTTGGAATCAAGAAATCTTTTGGCAGCTGCCGTGGATTTCAGAAGAAGTCAATGCGGGAGCTCAGCCAAAGTTTCCGAATTCCCCAAAGTCATCTGCTTATATGCACTTCGGCCTAAAACTGGCGTTGAATCGAAGAGTTCTGGGGATTCAGAGTTTCCCTAATTTTCATTAATTCCAATAAAAATTTTCTTTGTTCCTTATTCCTATTTCTGCTTTCTTAATCTACTTAAAAATTTGGAGAATTATATGGAATTGCTTCTCCCTTAAGACCCACCTGCTTTCCTTCACATCTAAACGATGAATAAAAAATATTCCCCAATTAGTTCTCATCAAAGAGAATATAATTTTTTACGTAAATTCTCAACAAAGAGACTCGCTGTTTTCTATTAGCGAAAACATAAACTAGATCACTGCCTGTTATGACGGATCGATTTCATATGCCTAACTTGCGCAGTAGATTCATTCTCTGTTTTCATTTCTTCATTCATTTTCGCTAATGAAAATAAAATTAATGTCTAAACGTTCATATTTGATCAGATTATTATTATTATTATTATTATTATTATTATTATTATTATTATTATTTTCTTGACTTTAGCTGCCAGACACTGTCAATGAGCATGTTTATTTTCGAGAATGATTTCTTATTTCTCTTGCTCCACATATGAAATTCAAACGGTATTTTCTTTTCTAGGCATTTGTAAAATACAATGTGTTTATTTAATACTTATTTAATATTTAGACTTAAATATGATAGAAGAATATTAATTTTATAGATAGATAGATAGATAGATAGATAGATAGATAGATAGATAGATATGAATAGACTCGTGTATATATACATATATATGAATAGGCACATATATAGAGTGTTTTTCTCTGTGTGAATGTTAGTGTGTGTGTGAGATAGATAAATAAACTGGGGTTAATTGACCGGGGTGGATATTTTTGAATAGATTCTGATAGATAGATAGATAGATAGATAGATAGATAGATAGATAGATAGATTTAACTTTATAACTCATTTTGGCAAAGTATTAATCAATTGAAAATCGTTTACGTATTTCACATCGAAGGGTTTTCTTTCATAGAAGCAATATGACTTTCACATTTCTAATTAAACTTCTGATGTTAACGGTTATTGCTGAACGAGTCTGTCAAGCTCGGGATGAAGCTTTGAATATTTCGAAGGGGTTTGACAGGATTTGGCATGCTGGTTTTGAAAGGTCGTGACATTTCTGGACGAATTTTTGATCTCATACAGTCTTTCCTATCCAATCGCGAAATGGAATTTGTCTTGAACGACCATTCTCCTTGGACATTAGTTGGTTCCAATTTTCATGAACGACCTTCACAATGTCATTAGATCCAAAAGCGGGATACATGCTGATGAGAAGACTATTCAAGCTGATATTAAATTGACATGTCAAAATCGATACACGCAGTTGATCTCAAAAATTAGCTTCAGTCTATTGTTAACTAAAACAAGAAATAGCATTTTAATTTTAACATCCCGAAAACGAAACTACAATTTTTAATCGCCTTCGATAAACTTTAAGCCTTCCATCTCTGGTCAGGAGACTAACTCATTACGGCACCTTGGATTAACGCTTTCCGCTGACATGAAACTTAAAGATTATATTGAATAAATCATCTAAATCTTCTGCAAGGATAATTAACTAATTGTGTTATGGTAGAACATTTGTCTCGCAAGAACAACCTTACATATTTATAAGTCCATTCTACGCATCAAATATTGCTGCCACATTTGATTCTTCTATGTATTGAGAGATTCGTAATACAATCCAAAAACAATCTTCAAAATTATCCATCCTGAATTGGCATTTCGTTTTTAATCATCTTCTTCCACGATTACGTAGCTCACCTGCCCATAAATAATTTCATGCTGTCATGGTGAGCTTTCCTATTTGGTAGATCAAATCTGCGAAATAAAACGCAGAAATAGATCGGCAGTAGTCTCTCATTATTTCACAGTTAAATTGGAACCGTAATTTCTATATAAACAATTTCATTTTCCACTTTTCACTTGTGAAACACATTTCCGACTTTTTCCAGCCATATTTGATCTTAGTGCCTTAATCAGCTTTTTTAGAGTTAAGGGAAAAATAGATAGAGAGAAAGATAATGGATAATATATTTTCTGAGTATTTTGTTGCTCCAATGATATCAAATGATAGCATCGACCATGGAAAATACAACAAGGAATATTTTGTTTACCTTTTTTTCCAAAATTGGCTGCACCAACTGGTGAGCTAGTTACAAGATAAAAGTTATTAAATTATTATTTTGGACAGGCTTGCGTGTCCAGTAAGATCTCTCATCCACAACTCTTTCATTATTGGTGCGGATTCCAGACATGTAATATGATTAACTATCTTACATTTCGGAAATAAACAAAATGTCATTATTACTACTTTTGTATACCTGAACTCGATCGTTTCGATTTATGTTATCGAGAAATATGTCTATATACACCTGATATATATATATATATATATATATATATATATATATATATATATATATATATATATATATATATATATATATTGTCGCCGGAACGCCACTCATATGTGCGCAGGCACACATACACGCACGTTCACGCATTCTCACACAAATATAAACTTATATGGACAGTTTTGAACTGAGCGTATATGCGCATCCATATATATATATATATATATATATATATATATATATATATATATATATATATATGTATGTATGTATGTATATACTTGTGTGTGTGTGTGTTGAGACCATAAAACAAACAAAATAAGTCATCAAAGAAACCTGGTCTATGTTAACAGAGAAACAAAAAAAAAGAGAAAATGAAAAACAGACATAAATGGTCCTTTACGGATCCTACGTGAAACCTGTACATAATTAGATACAAAGACCTCAATGATCATTTAATTCATAGAAAGTAATCCGACCGAAAATACAAGTGGAATCCAATCCAAAACTGTCAGAGAAAACAAATCTTACTATTGACTTCAAGATACACACCATAAATCGATATCCCATCGTTCGCAGTATCTTAGGATTGTTTCGTAAGACACACATATATATATATATATATATATATATATATATATATATATATATATATATATATATATATATATACTTTATTTTAGGGTATTGCATTATCAACATGTTAAAATCGCTACACAATTGCAGTCGTGTTTCGATGCTCATACTACGCATCTTTCAGGCGATTGTAAATTACTGAAGAGTGAACGATTTAATCAGATTTAAAAGCAAAATACAGCCTCTTTTTATGAAAAAAGAAAAAAATGAAAAGGGGACCGGTTATGAGGTTTGTAGCTCTATTTACGTCAACCAGTCAAGTATGATCTACGCAAAAATTAAAATAATCTGCACTTTTTCATGTAAACACAGAAAACACAGTTCATATACTGATCTACATGTCCTTGCCATTTTAAAAATGTTCCATTTCACCATAGAAGTTTTATTATCGTCTTTCAAAGTCCAAAAATGTTTAAAATCAGATGTATTATTTCTATAAGTATTATTAGTAAAGGACAATATATGTTGATATCACTTAGTCTTGAAAGAATTCTTAGTACTACCAATATACAATTTTTCAATACAGATAGAACAAATATATCTTTTATATATCTCTACAGTGGAAAATATTTCTTAAATTTTGCTTCTTCCCTTAGTTTAAATTTAACGTAGGTCATATGTGATTGGTGGATGTCCACAAACCTTATAACCACTCACACTGTTTTTTTTTTCTTTTTTCGTAAAAAAATGCTGTAATTTGCTTTTAAATCTAATGAAATCGTTCACTCACCATTAACTTGAAAACATATAACTGAAATCTTCTTTTTGGATTGGTATTGCTTTTATGTTCATCGTCTTTTTCATGTTGAATTGTATATGGTCTATGTTAATTATGTTTTATGAATATGTCCTGAAGATGGTCTATTAGACCGAAACGTCCGACGTTCACATTAAACATTAAAACAGCATAATCGCATATTAGGATTTTTGTTTGTTTTTCTATATATATATATATATATATATATATATATATATATATATATGCAATTTTCATATATATATATTATTTATATAATTTGCATATGCTCGGTACCTATTGTGACCCTGGCTTTCCCGCCCTTTGCGATCATTAGACAAACTGAGTAATTTTTAAATTGTGCATTCATTTATAGTTGCGTATATCGGTGTTTTATGGAAGAGAAAAGAAAAAATTGTCGCCGGAACGTCACTCATATGTGCGCAGACACACATACAGGCTCGTTTACGGATTCTTACACAATTTTAAACAAATATAAACAGTGCTGAACTGAGTGTATATGCGAATCTATGCGTCGTTACCTGCAAGCGTTCGCAATTGGTCACTGTATTCAATGTTGGAATTGTGTAGCGAATTTTTTCCAAGTGACGGTGTCAACTTAAAGTTCGTTCGCCTATTTTGTTGACGGGATAATGTTTTCTCACACGCAAATGCACGTATCAACACACGTTCATACATCTATCCGTCTGTTTTTTTTTGTTTTTTTTTTGTTTGTTTGTTTTTTCATTACTTAAGATGGGGTCTATGTTAGACTATGATAGTTAATTTTCTTCTTATTTTTTTAAATATTTTATGCTGTCTTGTTAATATTTTTGATGCCGGTTATTTGCTTGTTTTGGGCGATTGCGCTGATGTAAATGGTAAAAATTCTAATTTATAATATTTACTAGTATTTATGCGGTGGTAGTAATTTTGCCGGGGAGGGAGTATAATTCGAGACTAATGCGGCAATGATACTTGTGGTGAAATAGTGGGAATGAAATAATGTTTTCAATGTTGAGATAAGTGGGGATAATTGTTAAGAAAGATATGATAATTACAATGTTAATTAAATTAATAGTAAGATAGAAATTATGATTATATTTACAATATTGGGGTCAATGCTGAGATAAGTAGTGATAAAATATTGGTGGCAATGTTGTGATAAGTGGGGATATATGTTAAGATACTATGATAATTAAAATAATATGCATGAACACAGGCATGAAAACAAATACCTATTATCAGAATGTATTCCAAATAGATAAAAAAAATACCACCATTGACCCTATGAACACGAAAAGAGAAACAACTGACACCATAACACCATCATTTTTTTAATTCAAACCACCATCAAAATAATTATTTTTATTGTCATCCCACTACCATTACTACAATCACTTCTACCATCTCTAAAATAACTATTTTCTACTACAACTGTTTTTAACATCACCCACTCCTTTCACCATTGTTACCGCAGCAATGCCAACCCCATAAAATGTCACCAGTTCAGATTAACATTTTTTTCCCAAAAGATTTCAGAAATTGATTTCAATTCATTGGAATACTACAAGGGGCAACTAAAGAGTTTCTTTTTGAAGATGGAAAATAATGCTGCAAATCAAAAATTACGAAGGTGAGGGAAGTGGATCAGAGGAGATCAAACGGTATTAAACGATCAAAATTCCCGTCAAATCTTATGTCCGTCAAAGCCTCACATATACAATATCCGTAGCAAAAGCGGTTATGTCCAGGACTAGATCTATTAGGACAAGATCGCATGCCCTCAGTGGAATTATTAATAGAGATTACCCCTACACTGGCTGCTACCCGCGACAGAGAGTTTAATCTGTTCTGTTATTTAAAACACAGCTGAAGGATCCATGCCTGTTCTAAGTGTACTCGTGTGAAGTGAACATAAGAGACGTCGTTCTGAATTCAATTCTAACCAATTTGTTTTCGGTAACACTGATTCCATTTCGTGCACCAATAACTGCTATGCTATCTACATATTCACAAATGGTTTACGTTTGAATATCAAGTTAAAAACAAAAGTAATACATTAGAAATAAAGAAAACGAATCGGCACATTAAACTATATTGTCAATAGGGTATGTTTGAAGCAGATGTGAGCTTATATTAATATTCAATACCTTTTCTACATAAACTCTGAGCATTCTTGAAATGTGTTACTTGAATTTAAGGAATCAACAGAAGAACTGGATCTGCATTTTAATCTGTAGTTTCAAGATATTTCCGCTTAATTCGGCAGCAGACAGTAAAGTGGCCGATTACACGCAAATGGACTTCAATTCGAAATATTTTAAGTCCAACTCAACGCACTGAGTACCCAGGAGGAAAGAATAAAGGGAAAAGGCACAAACTGATAAGTTGATTCTATTAATATGTGGCTTCGAAATGTTGTTTGCTATTAGTCCTAGTTCTGCTTTTCGAAGCGACTGCGATCAAACCTTGCAATAGAGACGACACTGAATGTTAACAAGGCATTACTATTGAAATATGGGCAGAACTCGGCTAATAACCGTCTTTTCAGTGGAAATCACTTGGAAAACGAAAGATTTCGGATACAAGAAGACGTGGATGGGAAGAAAAAGAAATAAATTTCTTAAAACGAAAATCTGTTCTTGGAACTTTTACGAATCTTAACGTGAATAATAGCTGTTCTTTCTTCTTGCATGGAGCTCCATTTGAATTTCAATTGTAGCTGAAATGAAGTTCTGATGTCACTGAAAGATGAAGGACAATGGGAAAAAAGTAAAGAAAAATGATTGCGATAAAAAGAAAGAGTCTTCAATATAACATAATCCAGGAAGAGAGAAGAAAATGATTGGTAAGGGAGACGGTAAATAGAGAGTAAAGATAAAGAAAAGAAAGATAAGGTGTTAAAAGTGATGGCAATTGTTAGAACGATGAAAACTATTAACGAATGAAGAACGTCGGAAGAATGATATAATAATATAGAAAGCGATTTGAATATGAAATACATCAAATAATAGATACGATGAGAATTAAAATCGCTTTCGATTGTTATATTTAATGGTTAAACAGGAAAAAATTACTTGGAATATGAAGCCACATAAAAGAATGAAAGAGTTAAATATAAACACGAAAAAGGGCAAATTGAGTTGTGATAATGGAAGAGAGACTATATGAATTGATATAGTTGGACAGATATTGAGATATTATCCAAAAGATTTGGATTACAGAGAAAAAGAATGTGTATATCGAAAACGAGGAAAATAAAGTAAAGGCTAAGAAAGAAAGAAAGAAGGAAAGAAGGAAAGAAAGAAAGAAAGAAAGAAAGAAAGAAAATATTTGAAGCGAACAAAAAATATTTCGAAATGGTTGCACTAGGCTAAAAAGAAAGAAATTAATGAGGGGAGGGGGAAGGGAGAGAAAAATTTTAAACCGAAAATTTGGAAAACAAAAGTAAAGTCTACATTAAATAAGAAAGAAAGAAAGAAAGAAAGAAAGAAAGAAAGAAAGAAAGAAAGAAAGAAAGAAAGAAAGAAAGAAAAATGAAAGAAAGAAAAATCTTTGAATTGAAAAAAAGTATTTCGAAAGGGCTGTACTAGTTTAGGAAGGAAGGAAGGAAGGAAGGAAGGAAGGAAGGAAGGAAGAGCGGGAGGGGGGGGGGAGGGAGGAAGGGAGGAAGGGAAGGAGGAAGAGACAATAAGTTCAAATCAAAAAGTAGAACAAGAAAGAAATCATTATAGATATGAACTCGACAGAAACGAGCATATAAGAAATGGTCCTGGAAAATATTTATATATATAAGTGTTATGTGTGCAGAGGAAGACAACAGAAAGCACGAGAATTAGAAAAAGGAAACATCACAAAAGAAAAAAAAAGAATTGCAGATGAGTAAAAGATGTGAATCTCTTTTCATTCCTCGATCGGAAAAGTTAAAGGGAAGTAATATATAGAAGATAATTAAAGAAACAGACGTTCGATTTAACAGAGCAGGAGACCGAAAATTGTAGCCAAGAGACCTACTTTCAAATTTCACGTTTTCGAATCACAATGATTACTCAACTTGATTCCTTCCTCATTCTTCTTAATACTATTTCAGATGTCAAGAACTAGGTCGCCTTCGGCTCCTCTTCGTTCTATAATAGATATTAAGCTATTCTTAGCCCGAATTCGATTCGTTCTGAGTGCCCTATAATTGTATTTCTAGACTAAGTGATACTTATTAAATAACTATAAGTAATTCGATTTTTACTTTTACCTACAATTTATTGGATTCTTACTGTTCAACGAATGTAAATTATTAGTCCTTGTTAACACAACTGTATAAGAATAAAGCTGAAAAGAAAGTTTATTATGAACTTTCATTCCTAACATTAAATAATGAAATCAATATTTTTAGTTGGTATCAAGCCTAAGTCACATTGTTATAGCGAAATACTAGTGATAATCGTAATAGTTATATTACCAATTTCCTCTGCTGACTTTTGAAACTGAGAAAACCTTTATCGTAAAACTTTCATTCATGAAAATAAGTTTCTCACGTCCAGCTGATGTTAATAATCTTTCCAGTACAAATGTTGGCTTCGGCCTTGCCTTTTGTTTGGTGCAGTGTGGAAACGTCAGTATCTTGATTATGACATTATTTTCTTATCGACTTACATGTGCTATCCATTTTACTTGTTACTGCTGTTGAAAGTTCTCAAGAGATGTGGTTCTCTTATCTGGCACAGTTCTTTGTAATTCTGTAATGTCAAACAACAAGGTTATAGGAAAGATACCTCGATTAGTTCTACACGTCACACTCGCTAAAAGACATTTTTAAATATCGATCTGGAAAGCAGCTGTATAGAACCAAATGTTTATATATTTCTGAAGGCGTTTGGTGTCAATCATGACATCCACAGACAAGTCTATTAAAAGACATGATTCGGATTTATACATTATTGTTTTGGAATTTCCATACTTGCGGCCTTGAGATTGATTTCAGATTCCTTATCAATATTAATTATTTTCTAACTGACCCATACACCGAGTTATTTGATGGGTTTACTATTTAATAATTCCATATCTTGAATTAATATGATGGAGTCAAGGCCCGCGCCATCACAGCTTTCGTACCAATTCCACATCCTTGTTTCTATTTTGGAAAGGGTTATCTTGAGATCTAGTTCTTGGAATGCTTGGTGGAAGATGCCGATGTTTTGTTCAAGATCATTCTTCTCTCAACTATATATGCTATCAGTATATGCAACCATATTCTGTGTAAATTTTTTATTAAAGTGGAAGCAGGAACGCTGTTTTTATATTAGTGGATTGATTTAGAATATAATATGGAATGTTTAAAAGACCAGTCCCTATCTTTTCCCATCTATGCCTGCATATGCACAGAGCGTAATCTTAGAGATTAAACAGATGACCAATATAGTCGATATCAAATTCGATCAAATCATTAAACTTAACAGATTTTCTGCCATTTTTAATCACTGCCCACAACAGATAATCCTTTAATTCAGTACATTATGCAATTTCTTTGTTTATCTGTTGTGGGGTTGATGAATGCTAAGAATACCCGGCAAGACATACTTCTCACTACTTACAACATTCCACGTAGGTATTGTAATCTGTAGAAGAACCTCTACATTCTTCTATTAGTATAAGTAGCGTAACGTTGTTTATTGCCAACCTGCTAGGCACGACGCGTACCTTAAAACACCTAGTAATTCCCAGTAGCCACCTATTTGGTGCCTAACTTTGCTTAACATTGATGATCGCACGAAAATTGCTGTTTCCACGTGATATGGCGACATACATGTATATTATTAGCTTATTTATTTTTCTCAACATATTTTTGTATGTATGGTTATTCAAAAATATTCCTTGTTTTTCCGATGTAGTTATTCTGATTTTTCCCTTCCGTTCTTTTTAAGCCTGAAATAATTCAATAGCAATTTAGTCTGCATATTTTTTGATCACGTTCACTGTTATAATGAGTTGAGGAATTCAAAATAAAGAATTGCATAAATCTCCATACCATCCGTTTATTTTTCTCTTTCTTTGACATGGTTCACAGAGTACAAAAACCAAGAGCCACTCAAGTTAGATGTTTAACGAATGAGATTGTTGTATGTATATAACTTGACCCTAGTCTTGAAGTCATTAAGATTCTAGTATTAGTTCATGAAAAAAGATGTTTGCATTGGACTTTCTTCTTAACAATGCAATACGAACATCAAAATGATTCGACCCTGTGTAACTGTCATGATGACTCTTAGCATTAAAGTTAGAAATGACATGATAAATCAGTAATGTAGCTCATTAGAACATTTCCATGCGACAGCGGTAGATTGGTTGCGTTTCTGACAATCTTTCACCTGTGGGAAAAAGGGAAGTATGATCTCAAGTAAATAATCACTCAAAAACCAATAAATGCTTTTGAACCCGACCATAGACGTAAAATGATGATTAAACATCTACCGCCCAGATATGACAAGAATACTCCGTTTCTGGTCGGATCTGATCTGATCAGGGACTTCTGGGGCAGTGAAAGGAACCGACCATTTTTACATCATCGTTTTCGATGGATATGAGTTCCAATTGTGGTTTAAGGCGTACTAGAGTCCGAATTAGGCTCACTAAGAGTACAAAGAGTCGCAGTGAGTGTATAAAATCGAATCTGAGGACCCCGAATTTGTTCATTATTTACATTATTCAGATTATTGTCCTCATCTTTGTCGCCATAATTATTACAACGTTTCAGCCGTTGAAATGTCGAACTGAACCCCTTTTTCGCTCACTGGGATAGACTGTTCTAGTTCCACGTGACATGTTTAATGGATGTCAGTTATCAGTTATCTCCTGTTAATTCTCCCTCTGAAAGTTCTTAACCGGGAATTGAACTCACACTCTTTGGGTCCTGTCACTGGGCCTTTATCCACTGTGCCATGTGTCCTTAAGGACATCTGTGTATGAATTTCTGGGTATTATAAACTTGATGTCTTCAGCTCCATTTTTACCAGTGCTCATATTGCAATTTTGCTGTTATCAATTCATGTTTTTACCAGGGCTCATATTGTAACTTTGTTGTTATTATCGCTTTTCTCTGGCACTCCTTATTACTGGTTTCTATATTGTATTTATTTCTATGCTTTGTCGGCTCAGGAAATTTTTGTGGCCTAGCATATGTGCTGATACCTTAAGTTTACGAATATTTTTTTTATGATCTCAACCTGATCCCACAGAGGGCAGTGACTCCCTTCTCTCTCCGAATTTGTTATGAGTTAAACTTCCTTCTAAATTTTATAGTCAATATTTTGTAACCTATATTAAGTAGGTGTGATTTTTAATGTGATCTTTTATAATTTATATTCTCCTAAAAATTATTTTAGACGTGAATGAAAATTTAAATGTTATAACTTTATAAAAATATCGTTTCGCACTTTGAACAAGAAATTGTTCTAATGAGATTATTTCGGCTCTCTTATTTTTTTTAATGTATCCATTACGTATTTAATAGCATATTTTGTATTTTAAAAACTATTTTACCTTCTAAGTAGCATTGACTTCTTGTACTCTATCCATGATAAAGCGATGTACGTTTTTGTTTTATTTTAGGGATTGTCATTTACTACCATATTCTTCTGGTGCTTTGTCGGCATCGTTTCTCGTAGTCGATTAGAGATCCTTCTAATGAGTGGCAAATTTCTTTGCAAGTTTTCCAGTGACGATGTCATTCAACATAACATGTATCTTTCCCTCTCATATTACTTGCCAATATTCTTTTACGGTAAATTTCATCTTTCTCTGTATGATACCTTCTTCCATAAAAATGTTGAACTAAACTTTCATAACGATGACGCGAGATTTCTGAGCTAAGGTGCCAGCCAAATTCTTCGGCAAAATCATAGTTTATCACTTTTATGTTTTTTCAAGTGTCGTCAGAGTTGTTCTAAAATGAGTATATTTTTATCTTATGTCTGACTTCGATATGATAAAACTCATGTATAATTTCAAGCAAGTTCTCTCCGTCTATTAAATAAAATTACCAAGCACTTTCATACGAAGAGTAAATGAAGTCAAACCTTCAACCGCAATACATTAAAAATTAACTATAGCTGTTCTAGAAATCTAGATAAAATTATTAAATCACACAATAGAATACTGAAACATCATAACGATAATAAACGCAACCTAAACACATTCTAATACATGTAATTGCAGAATCCCCGATCATTGTGCATTATTAAACAGGTTCTTAACGAAATCCATAGTGTATATGTGATATATCTCATCAAATGAGAACCTGAAAGATATTAAGCTGTATGTGGGATCAACTACCGGACCTTTTAAGTATAGATATTACAATCACATAAACTCCTTTACAAATGCAGACAAATGCAATATGACATCACTTTCGAGATATTTTTGGAAACTGAAGGAGGAAGGAAAAACACATAAGGTTAAATGGAAAATCTTAAGACAAGCCAGAACCTGCAATTCTCTGAACGAACCTTGCTTTTTATGTTTGCAAGAGAAAATATGTATTATTAAACTTTTGAATAACACCCAATTGTTATACCAAAGATACGAAACCAGCGTTCATATAGACATATAAAGGATCTAACATTACAATCGTGTTAAATTCATAATTCCATAAATCTAAACGTTTAATATTTAATAACTAACCTCCTTTGATATATTTCTTACCTTCTTTTGTAGCCCTCCACCAATATATCTTAGATCATGATTCTTAAAATATTTCCCATTTTTTGCATATATAATACTAGTAATACTTTCAGATATATTGCTTTACACCCATACTTATTCTACACGTTATACTGTCAAAAAATATTTATATTAATATCCCATACATTTTTTCTACTTATATTTAATTCCTAAATCATTTATATATACGTAAACTTATATAGCCAGCATACAAAAAAGTAATCATCACTTCTAAACTTATTAATTTACAAAACATTTCCATTGATTACCGAATTAGTAGTGATAACTCCAACATAAATATATGCAATTCAGATTTAGTTTGTTTTTTTATAGTAAACCAAAAAAAGGATTCCCAGTTACTACTACAACAATCGCTAGAATTTATCTTTCTACATACTCCTTCATATTACTATCTCATATTCTCACCATCTATCCCTCACGCCTCACTCTTGTGAGATGTTTTGCCTAAACATTTGACCGTGGCTATCGGTAAGGAATCTTCCCAGACCAGCCAGCATTCAACACAACATCCATCCTTCACCAAACTGCTACCAACAATTTGTGTTTTATGTATATTTTTTCTCAAACAAATGGAAAAAAGGAAGTTACTTGTCACATACGGCTTCCCTAAAAGCAGAATTGTTCATAACCATTTTCGGTTCTCACCCGTGGAGGTGCAGTTGAAATGCACGGAAACGAATTTGCATCTTTGTAGTGAGCCCTCTTTGGATAAATGTTGTGAACGTTAGAATTTATATATTACTTTCGTTTCCATTCCATCGGATATATATATATATATATATATATATATATATATATATATATATATATATATATATATATTTATTATTTAAAAATTATAACAAATATAATAAAATCACTACAAACATAGTTATTTTATTTCAACACCGCTGGTGTCTTATCAAGTGATGATGTTGAATTCAACATCATCACTTGATAAGACACCAGAGGTGTTGAAACAAAATAGCTATTTTTGTAGTGATTTTATAACATATTTATGTTATAACATATTTATGTTATAATTTTTAAATAATTAATTATATTCGCTCTACTCTGTACTGAGGAATCTCTTAAAAATAGCAATTGTTGGTTATTAGAATTTATTCCGTATACACCAATCATATACTTGGGTGTATATATATATATATATATATATATATATATATATATATATATTCGGGGAAAACTCTGTGGATAACCTAGTGACTTACAGAGTTTGTCATAGTTTTATCCCTTAAATTATTATTGAAATTATATATATATATATATATATATATATATATATATATATATATATATATATATATATATATATATATATATATATATATATATATAATTTCCCCATATATATATATGTGTGTGTGTGTATACAAATTCCGATAGAGTAAATATATAGGAGATTATCGTAAGATTATCGACTCGGTATACATTAAAATAACTTTTAGAATCTAATAGAATCTCCAGAAATTGTAGCTGATGGTCGTCCTGGTCCAGATATTGCTGATAGCGTGAGACAATAATACTGCAAACATAAAGAAAAATATCATTCGGTGTATTTAGCTTTCTCTTTCAATGGCTGCCCTTAATTCCCTGACTTTAGCTGGTTTTATTTCATAACTATCAATCGCAGGAAGTTCATGTCAATATAAACAGCGCAGCGTTGTCAAAATAGAATTGCCCAGTTAGTTCTTTTTAGTCATAAGCTAAACTAAACTTACCATTTATGAAATCACATCAAATGACAGTTATTCCTTAAATATCTTATTGATTCCAACATTATGTGAACTGCAACAGCGATAACAAACGGTATTCTCGTTCTGTTATTGCATTATCGAAATATTTTTACCTCTATCAGAAAAGCCATCAAGAATATAACAGCGCATAGGGTGTTGACAAAATGAAGGATTAAGATATTCTGAAATTTATCTTGTCGAGATTGATTTTAGTATATCCTCATCAATATGAATCAATATAAATAGCTTCGTTTCTGTTCCTAGTCTGAGAAATATATATATATATATATATATATATATATATATATATATATATATATATATGTGTGTGTGTGTGTGTGTGTGTGTGTGTGTGTGTGTGTGTGTGTGTGTGTGTGTGTGTGTGTTTGAGCTGATATACATTTCATAATAAACAATAATCCATCTCAGATCTGAGCTAATTGCGTCAGAATCTTCGGAATAAAAGTACAAGAAATATGGTCCAAGAATTCTACTTTCTTAAGACAACTTTAGGTTAAGTGACGTGAGTGTGTCTTTGTTTTTGTTTTTTTCATTTTTATATATTTTTGTGGGTGCTGACTTTTAAATTATAATTGTTTTTATTGATTGATTGTTACGTTTGTTCGGTATTGCTTCAAGCATTATAATTGTGTCTTTACTATTTGGCATTATTAGTATTTTGTTATTGATTGAGAGTAAATGTCTAATATTACTATAAATATTAGTAAACCTCTAATTTTACGATGATCATTATCCTGCTTATTAATGTGGCGGCACTTTGACATGATAAATGGCAGATGAGTGACCGTGATATTGTACATACATATTCTACGTAAGAACTTTTCAGTGTGTTTTTTTATTTATTTATTTACAGAAAAACTTCTCCGATTGATCAAATATATTCTTACGCAATAGTGGTCTTATATAGGGGGTTGGAATTTTGGGATATATTATTTTAAATAACTAAAATGCTAGTTTTAAATCATTTGCAATAAATAATGATTCTGCTGTATTTTATTTTTATCACCTGGTTTCATATATCGAATTACGATATTCTTTATTGTTTCCATTGTTTTTTTAATTATGGTACTTTTCATTTTGGTAATATATGTTAATAGCCTTATTGTCAATATTATGTTTGTGACTATGATTTTTATTGTCAAACTTTTTGTTACTTAAATTAAAATTTATTTTCTTGTCGGCTATATAATTAGAGTACTTTTATTGATCGCTGTTTTTTTAATGTTATTTAATTATTTAAAGAAAATTATTCAGATGAAGAAATGAGTTTAGCTCTTTGGATTAGTTTATTATTAGCGGCAGTTTTATATGTTTCAGCGCTTACATTATTATAGTTTAGAAAGCAAGAATTAGCACTAGATTTTATACGGAAATATAGTGAAATTATGATTGTTATTGTCGATAAGACTAAGATTAGGACGCATGGTGGAATAGCGGCTCGGATTGAGGAATCGGAGAGCTGAGTTCGAATTCCAGTCGAATCCATTAAATTCACTTTTGGGCTAATACATTTGAAGAAGGTATTAATCTTCTTCTTCTCCCCGCCCCCAGCTATGGGTAAATGTCAGATGGATAAATAGCAAGAAAGACAGGGTTGTATAGCCTAGGGTGGCAACATGTCTACCGCCAGGAAAAATGTCAACCTACTGCGGGAAATGATCTGATTATTCTTAATTTGGAAAAGTTGATCAGTAACATTAAGCGGCACAAAATATCTGTTCAGACAGCAAGAATTCATCCAAACAATGTCGATTGAAAAGAATCGGCAAATTTTGCTTGAATAATTTTTTATTGTAATTTTTCGAATAAATGTTCGGTATTGTGCTCGAAATTGTGAATAATCTGTCCGAAGCTCATGTGTTATTTTTTCTTCAAGTACTTTAGACTATCTACAACATTTAAAGCACCAATGCGCTGACTTTGAAGTCGGCAGAATTCCTTTGTCCACATCCTCGTATTCTTTGGAAAATATAGTCTACAGGGATGTCATATTTAACGGTTATTGGGAGCGATGTCACACAAAAATTGATGCGATTATTTTTAATATTGATTTATATTTATATGATATATTTGATATAAATTTACATATATACATATCATATCCACTTCAAGTTGCAGTCTCTTGTGGCGAGTGATATTTTAATTACAATTTTAATCACTTAATTAGACATATTTAAATCTCATCTGTGTAATTTGTCTGATTACTTCTAAGACTCTTTGATCTTTCACGCAATAATAGAAAGTATCATAAGGTATACAGTGCCGTCTACTTCCTTGCTGATATGTTTACCAAATGTATGTTGTTAGAGATATTCACCATCAGCAAGCACATCTTGATGGTGGACATGTGAACGCCCTGGCAGTCAATGCCTGAAACATCTATGCAAGCAACAAACACAAAATTAAATTTAAAAAAAAACATTTATTTGGAATACGGCCATTTTCAAAAGCCTATTTACTTGCACAGCGGCCGAATTTAGTTCCTTCTTAAAAGCCAAATATTTCAGTATCATATCTAGCTTTTAAATTTCAAATACGCAAGGGGATATTTCAAAACTGATTTTAAAACAACCAGTGTTCTTTACGGAAGTACAATACGGACACAATTATGTTGTCCCCATTATATTACAACGAACTAATCACCGTAAATCTAAACGAAATTTATTTTAATCATTATTCTAAAAATGCAAGTCGTCTCTAATTTGTTTTCAGTTGAGGAGCTCGAAAGGAGTAGCCAATTATGTAAGTATCATGTGTCGAGGCCCCCAAGATAATGTGATTTCAGGAAATAAAATTGATTAAGAAAATATAACCAAATATGCACTCGCTGTTATTTCATATTTCAGTAAAGTAAAAACCAAACAGACGCACAACTTTGATAATGCTGTCCACGGATCATTAAAATTCCCTACAAAATAAATTTCTAGTTACAAAAAAGTATTATGTGCCTGAAAAAATATTAAAAATGTATTTTCATTGGAAAACCTCTTGTGCTGATAAGACTCTATTTTTTCTTTCAAAGTTTAATAATGCAAAAATACATTCCAAAATAATTTCTTCATTGATATTTTATGCATGCGTAATTTGCAATCAAGTGTGTCTTTAAGATAACCAACAAACCAGGTATAACCATGCTTCTTTTTTTCTTACTTTGAAAATGTTAGCAGATGCAGACGAACTTGTTCCATATGGAAGTCACCATTCATATGAAACCTAAATTTAGACACGTATTGTCTCATATCTCGCTGAGCATCCCAAAAGAATCACCCTGGCCTGATTTCATACCAATACCTGATGAAGGCCGGAGCGTATAACGGCCGAAACGTTGTACGTTCCAGCCTTCTTCAGGTGACTGGAATTTCGAAAACTTTATTTCGTTCACCGGGGTAAATTGTTCGAGTTCCTCATCCCACATGGGGCAGTGATCTCTCTTTTTCCTCCATATGTGGTCAGGGACGTCTGATTTTTCAATTTCCCCTCGTGTTAACGCTTTACAATGTCCTTGCCTTAAGCCTTACCATATTCTCCTCTATCGGGGGGGGTTACTCGGAAGAGGTGTCTGCAAAGTGTTAACCCACTTTTGAATATTGTCGTGGTTGGAATAATAGATAGAGAAGATCACCGGAAAATACGAAAACTTAAGGAATCCGCCCATATGTTAGGCCACAAAAATCTCCTGAGCCGACTAAGCATAGAAATAAATACAACATGGGAACCAAAATAAGGAGTTCTAGAGAAAAGCAATGAATAACAACACAAAATAATTACAATATAAGTTTTGGTAAAAAATATACTGTAATAATAACGGAAAAAAGCACTATGAGCACTGTTAAAATGATTACTGAGACATTAGTCCCAGAAATTCAAATACAAATATAATCAAGGACACATGGATAAAGATTTTGATTAGATCCAGTGAATAGATCCAAGGCATTAGTGAACCAAAATCATGAAGCGTTGAGTTAAAAGGAAATAACTGAGACATCTAGAAGAGGTATGGTAGGTGGAACAAACGGAGATAAAGGGTTCGATATTTCAATCAGCTGAAGAAGGCCGGAGCGTACAATGGCCGAAACATTGTGAATATGGCAATGAATATTCGAATGAGAATCCGAATAACATAATCATACTGCCTCATCTCAGAGATATAGACACATATGATACAAACTTGTATTAAAGAATAACCTTGCTTAAAACGAGAGAGCCTTATATACTAAAATAGAAAACAATTATTATTGTTTATTGAAACAGAAAACTAATTCCGAGCATTTCCTATCCAAACGACTCCCATAGAAAAAATAATTAAATAAATTCTATCAAAGGGATAATATTTCACAACGTATGGCTTACACACCTGACTTTCTTTGGCTTCCGAACTGGAAGATTTTGGCTCGTACAGTCGAAACTTGAGTTTTCCAGTGTAAAACAGCATTCTTGATTCGTTTATTGATTATTATATAATTTATGTTTATTATATAGTCTATGTGGTTTTTCGTGTCTCTTCGGGCTACATACGGGCAATGTCAAAATAAACCAAGTGAATGAATTTAAATATCTGGGAAGAATTTTAACAGAAAACGAAAAGCATGATACTGAAAGAGTAAAGCGCCTGGGACTTGCAAAAGTAGCCTTCCAAAAAGTATTACCTATTAAGAAATACAACAAATTCATTAGAACAAGTATTAATAAAAAGAACAAATTCTTTAGAAACAAAGAAAAGAGTGCTAATCTGCCAGGCGACCTCAATACTTCATATAGCAGCAAATGCTGTACATTGAATTTAGAAATGAACAGCAGACTGAAGAAAACAGAGACGTTGTTCTATCAAAGAATGTTAGGAATGTATCAATGAATTCTTCAAATATGAGAAAATAAAAAGATGTACAAGAAAATAATTATGAAAGTGATAAAAGATTGTATTCGATTATTCTTTAAAATTACTGGATGGATTATAAGCTATCAAATGCCAAAGATTGCATAAATAGAAAATTATGAAACTACTAATACGTGAGTGGCATAATTAGAAAGCAATCTAAAACATCACTGCTTTAGAGATAGGGGATTAGCCTCAGGTACGTTCTGGGACATTATTTCTCTTCCTTCCACGGTTCTTACAAAGTTAATTGTTG